ACTTGGGGCTGGCTAACTACAGCATGTAACAATCTGGTTTCCATGGTGCGGAGCCAATTCACTGAGCCTTGTAAATCTACCATTACCACTAAAAGAGGCAGAGGAGCAACTAACATAAGACCCACTAAGCAAGAGAGAGAGAGGGGAGAGAGAGAAGCCATAGCTAACTGCTAAGCTTAAGTAACTAGCAGATCAAAACAGCATGTAAACAGCTATGTGATTAGTGAGAAAGTCACTACAAGACGCAGCGAGCTATGAGTGATTGAGCACAACTAGTACAAGTCAAGAAGTGGGTAGTTAGCTGCTGTGATGAAGAAAATGACAAAATTAAAATGGTAGTGACAGAGCAGCAAACAAACACCAGCATACTTTCAAGAAATTTCAGAATTGCAGCCACATTGAGACATCATCATACAACAATAAACGTGACATATGCATGTGGGATGTGCCGACGGGGTTCATATAAAAGTCCTCCCCAGTATGATAAAAATGTCAAACTGAATTAAGTGTTCACATTTAGATCTAGTGTGGAATCTGGACTGGTCAAGTAGACAGGGTTTGATCATGGCTCTATGAAAGACTGAAAATCAACAAGTGTATGCCACCATTGTGTTGAGATAAACACACCAGCAGCCAGACAGGACGACTCAGAGCATTTGGAAAGGACTAGTAAAATCTGGTTTTGCTAGTTTAAAGAAAGAGAGACCTTGGGTATACAGGGCCATCACAGAAGACAATGGACACTCGTCATTGATGCTGGGAAAGGTCACTTACACAAACGCTAAAGGAAACGCATGAATTGACCAAACAATGAGAATGATGTGCCTGTCCAACCTGATGGTTAAAACACTAAAGAGCCATGGACACGGGCCTATTCAAAGTGTGATATACTGCAGTGATTAAAACAAGGAGCAACACTGAAAACTAGCAAGAGTTTAATTACACCTAATTAATAATTTTTTTTCTATAGGGGGGAATTCTAGATAATTAATTACACTACATAATGAAGTCATTACTAATTGCCTGACATACCAGTCTGACCTCAGCTTGAAGGGCTGAAAGAGATGAGGAAATGAAATGCATAGTGCCTCCCTGTGTTGGTCAACTGTAACAACATTTCTCTACAGAAACAATTCAGACATGAAATGTAGTGTCTGAGCAACAGTACATCATCCATTACACATCCAACATATATCTATATCTCATAGAGTTAGGCTCGACATTTGTTCTACTGTCTCACTTTCTAAGCATTTCATCTCTTTCTTATAGTGTGTTTAAGTGTTTAAATTTGGCTGACCAATCAAATTTTGGTATCATAAACCCATAACATACTTCTGTTGTTGTGTTTTTGTGTTTTTCTGCTAGTCACAAATAATTAGGGCCTGTGGTGGCAAAAGTCATATCTATATATCTATGTATTTATCATATGTATCTTAACTGCAATCTAATCTTATGCATTCATGTATTTAGTAGTTCAGTATGTACTCATGTTTTGCTGTGGATGTGAGGGGTGTGAGAGGATGTGTTCAACATTAATGTGAAAGAGGATGTGTTGACATACAATGGCAGCATGACTGGGAGAGGGGCCAAAGACTGTGAAACAGTTAATGGAAAGGGAGATGTGAGGTTGTTTGTACTACTCTATAAAAGGTAGGAATTCTGAGTTGTGACTGATTTCATCAGCTGCTTGAGGACTTTGGAGAACTAACAGAAACAACAACAGACTACTGAATCTGTTTATTTGTGAAAGACTGGAAAGCAAATACAGATACATGATTTGGACTTGGACAGATTATGTACTTGCCTCACACCGTGTCTGTGAGCAGCAAAACAGAGCAGCTCTATCTGTGTCTGCACAGTAATGAACCATAGCTCACCTACTTATTGGAAGCTCTTGGAGCCCAATACACAATCACTGTAGTTACACATGTAAAATAGAAAAGAGAAAGCTCACACAGACGACCTAAAATCTTTCTGTGCAAGCATGCCGCCTAGGGTCCAGGAACCCACATGATCAGTGTATAAATTGACTTCTGGATCTTAGATTCAAGTCAAATGTATTTGGGAATATTCACTTCAGTTAAGAAATTAAATTCTAATGGCTTTTCCTTGTTGAGGGGTGAGGGGTGAGCTAGGAGCTGTCAGTTTTTCTGGCAGTGTAAACAGATATGAATGACATTCAGAACTATAACAATGTGTACTGAGAGTGTTTAGCAGAAGACTAGAGGTATAATACAGTTGTTTTAAACACTTTCTCACAGTGCTCACCTGATCACATTGTTTATCAGAGTCAGTTATCTCATAGACAGATAGATAGACAGACAGACAGACAGACAGACAGACAGACAGACAGACAGACAGACAGACAGACAGACAGACAGACAGACAGACAGACAGACAGACAGACAGACAGACAGACAGACAGACACACACACACACACACACACAAAGCCCAAAAGAAAGTGATAAATATATATATATATATATATATATTTATCTTCAGACTGGAATACTCCAGCACCCCATCTGAATAACTGCGTGCAAAACATGGGCAAAAGAAAAAAACAAAACAAAAAAAAAAACATATCAAACAAGCAATGTCTGAGAGCAGGATCGTACCACAGCAGAAAACAGATGTGGAGATCACTGCAGATGTTGTGGGTACAGAAAGTGTTCTTAAAGCATTCATAAACACATCTAAGAAAAGGCAACACACTGACACATACACACACAGCTAATCTGTTACAGATTTGTATGCACTATGAATTTATCACTATCAGTCAACAACATTGACATGAATAATCTGTGAAGAAGTGATGATGATCGAGGGTCACACACTCCACACTGGATCCTGTGTCAACAGAGAGAGAGAGAGAGGTCAGAGAAACTCTGTACAGCAAATGTCCATCAGGGGCAAACACATGAAAACTGACTTCATCATTATCATTAAAAATAATAAATCGCTAATAGAAGAAATAATGGTGAAAGAATGTCAAGGGAGGGGCTTAATCTCCAAAATATACTACTGGTAAGCGAATCCTCAGAAATGTTGTTAAAAGGCTTGAGGCATGGAGAGAGGACTTGCAGGAAAACATCATCACTGCTACAATATAGCTGGTTAATTTGTACATATATGACTGAAGATAAGGTTAATTAATTCAACAGTACTATTCAACAGTACTATACCAGATGTTAATTTTAACCATAAAATGTGAAAAGGAAAAGAGCACAATTTTTTCACTGTTTTTGGCAAAGTTCTCAAATAAAGAAGCTCTGCGAAGAATTGAGACATTGCATTGTGGCCATATTAGCCATACAAATACCTTTAGAACCAGAGCTCTTCTTATTGGGTAGGCTATATACCTAGCTAACATCAACATAAGAAGGAAACAACAAATACTTTTAGAAGTGGGCCTGTTGTTGGCCAAAAGAGTCATTGCATTAACATGGAAGGAGGTGGGTAGGCCAAGGATAGATAAATAGATTTCCGAATTATCTACAACTTTGCCCTTATAAAAGATTACGTATGCTATCAGGGGGGGAAGCAATCAATCTTTCACAACATCTGGGTTCCTTTCATATGTTTTCTAGGAAAAACAGATTTATCCCATTCAATGGAAGCACCTAGGGATGATCTATAAGTAGACCTTGGCAGTTCACCTGGACAAGATGTATGTTAATAAGTATTTATCCAACTTAATATGGTCCTCAACCAACAACTTATCCAAGTGTGTATGTATGGGTGCATGTGTAATATATGTACAATTTTTATTTATTTTGTTTTTTTCTTTATTCAGTATTTACTTATTTAAGTCATTCTCTGCTATTGTTTTTAATTAATTCATGTGGAGGTTTTTGTATTCTGCTTAATTTTGACTTCTTGTTTATAGGTGGGTGAGGGGCGGCATGTATGTTTTGCAGGGTTGGGCATGGGGGTATTATGTTCTGGTGGTCAACAGGCATGCATACGAGCAATCACATGTGGATTGCTAAATTCTAAAATAAATAAAGATACTAATGGATAAACAAAAAACTCAAAAAAGGCTTCAATAAAACAAATCACATCTCATTAGAGCAGATGAACAGTTTAATCTGTCCAGAAAGGGACTTCATTAAATGAAACGTGATTTAAGACTATTCTCTTCCAATTGTCTCTTTTTTTCACAAGTTTTTCTTTGTTAAAAACTTTGACACTTTGCAAAGACTGCTAGAGTCCAGCATGAGAAACAGTGGACCACTGCCTGAGCTAGTCTACCTCCTCATGCTCATCCTTTTAAAGATTAGAAACAACTTTCGAACCACACACGTAAAAAGAAGATACGTAACACTCAAGCCTGATTGGTAAAGATGAAGTTCAGGTTTCCCATCTCTTCTACATAAATAAAATAAAATACAATGTCATTTGCCTCCATGATAAATAGGTATGGCAGAACTCAATATCTTTTATCCATACTAAAAGTCCAAGGGAACATAGCAACTTCATTCTCAATTTCATTAATTTTATCAGCAGTCCTTCTGCAGCAGTCACAGTGAGGTGATGTCATGTCATATTGTGTGAACCTACAGTAAGTTCATCCGGTAGTTTAACAAGGCTGGATTTTTAGTCCAATTTAGTCCAATACTTTAGTAGTCCAAGTTGGACTACTTTAGTAGTCCAATACTCTTGATGATGAGATTATTTAAAACTGTGTGCGTGAGCATTTGTCATCATCTCCATTAATAGCTACAAATCACCATCAGCATAGGCAGGTATTCACATGGGTGTTGAATGTCCCCTCGGATTTTAAACAACATACAAAACAAACATTTCAGTACCCCTACGGAGCAGAGTTTTAGCACAGTCTGAGAGCTGAGGTCCAGTGCTTCACCAGTTTGGTCATTTCTTGACCTTAACATTCGGTTTGCAAGTCTGTGTAAATATATATATATATATATATATATATATATATATACACATACACATACATACACACACTGTATATGTATAACACTCACTGTGGTCACTGTAGAATGTCAGCCAGCTTCTCGTGGTAATATTCATAGTTTTCTTTGCAGTCTTCCCACAAGTTCAGCACTTGTTCCTCGTTATCCACAAACGTGTCCCAGGTGTAGGAGAAGTCCAAAGGCTTCATGATCCTTAGCTTACAGCCAGAAGTACGCAGGGCCTGCAGCCCTGCCTGGATTTCTGCTTCCTCCCACTCAAACAGCCGAGCAGCAAAAATGGTCAGGTTGATGTTTTTCCTGGCCTTCAGCACCTCAGCTATCTTTTCTGCACACGCAGAGCAGGGACTAGAAGACACATACCTGAGAGGAAGGAGGTGTAATGAAGAGAAGACCATTGTATCAGTTCATCATAAGGATTAAAGACCAAGATGCATTTCATTTATTGCCATAGAACTTTGACATTTATGTGTACAGTACTGCTAAAGGCCCACACCACCACTTATACATGTCATTGTCAGTTCACTGGTTAAGAGGAGGGCTGAAGCAACTGTTGAATGATCTCAGCTTGGACACAGAGTCAATAGATTTTCAAACAGACTGGGGGTGAGGAGAGTTCTGTCTACTCAAAGTCTTTATCACTTTCATCATGGACCTTGTTCTTCCATGATGGTTCAAATTATAGAGGTTAGTTCACATTAGTTTGGTTTGCTCCAATTCACCAGGTGCAATGCCTTCCAGTCACCAGCAGAAGGTGACATCAGTGTTGAGCAGTTTAAAGTCCAGGCTGTTAAAACACACATCTGGTTTATCAGAAGAATGATCAGCATACGATTATTGGTTTTCTGTCCTGTCAACGGAACATAAAACTATCATTTTAAACAGCTGAACATTTTTTTCACAGCTGCTTTGGTTGTTTAGCTCTGTACTGACAGTACTACATGTTTTACCACAGAGACATAATAAATTTGATATGCAGGCATGGCTACATAATGTATAACCATAAAGGGATATCATTATATATATATTATAACTGTTAATCAAGTTTGTCCCTTTGCAGGTGATATTTGGACACAAGAGGTTTTTGTGAATGATATTTGATCAGAGCTCCAAAATGCATATCAGCCTCTTTTGGTCTAGACCTGGTGTTTGTGAAAAGGGCCCTGAGACAACCTCTGGTATAATTTGAAGCTTGATAAATAAATTTGACTTGTGCCTTTAAGAGCAGAGCTCCCTGCAGAGTGGAGGGAAATTTGTGTCTACAGTCACAGAAAAAACGAGGAAGATATCATCCAAACTGAAAATAAGTTATCTTTTAATTTGCCTCATTCTCTCTGCCACATACCATCTGACAGTGTAAGAGAGGTATGTACCAGGTGACTGTGTATTTGAGTGCAGGGTTGTAGTCTGGCAGGCACTGTGTGAAAAAGGCTTCCTCAGCATGACAGCTGGTGTGCTCATCCTCCAAATAGCCCCTCAGCAGCCCGTCAGTTGTGTTCCCTTTATCCACCAGGTAACACAGGAAGGTCTTGTTGCGGCCTGAAGAGTATTCCACGTTCTTGAACTGGAACTTAAAGACAAAAGGATCAATCCGGTCCCTGCAGAAAACAGCAAAAATGAGAGCATTGGCTTATTTGTTTTCACAGTATGACAGTGATTCAGAATGTGATGTTACTGTTATACAAGTATTGTTAGTGAAAACACTCATCCAGCAAGTGACAGAGCGTTAAATTATAAATGTGTTTCAAAACAGAGCTCCAGCCAGTTACTGATGTTGGCATTTGATCAATTTGTAACCAGGTCAAAAATGTATGTGCATGTTATTTGTCCTCTTGAGTGCCACCAGCCATGCCACAAGGAGTTGAAGTGAGGAGAGGAGCAGCAGCCAGTGTCCGCCAATGCCGCTTTACTCATGCCTGGGTCAGCAGTTGGACATCTGCACCCAAGCAGACCAATCGCTAAGGGACACCGCGGGTCAGCGTGGGAAGAGTACATGACAGTGGTATTGCAGCAACAGAGAGGGAGAGCGTGGACACAGAGGAGCCGCTGCATTGGACTTGGACTCTTAACGTGGTTTTTACTGAACTTTTAAATGACACATTTCCATTATTTTTAACAGGCCTGGTTAGTATTTTACCATCCTTTTGTGATATAAATTTATTGTAATAGATCTCACTTTAAATTGAGTCCTATTCTCCTGCTGGTTTTTAACTCTACTCTCCCTGATAGTTTTATAAGAACCTCTTAAAGGTATAATGTGTAAGATCGTGCTACTTGCTCCACCTCCATAAGGGGCAGCATTTCACATCTTCTCCCCCGTCCAGCTAGTCATGTTGTTTTCCCCCCCATGTTCCTTTTATAATTTATTTATATGTGCATTTATTGTTGATAGTTAAGTTGTTGATAGCACTGAAACAAATGATGAATACTTGTAATACAAACAGTATGTTTTTATTTACCTATGAAAATATGAAGGCAAGGGGATACTGCATGACACGTGGGTGTCAGGCTACAGCAGCATGAGGAAGGGATGATGACATCATCAGAGGCAAAATCAGAAAATAAGGTTTATTGCCAGGTAGGTTTTTACAAGATATTTGGCTCAATGTTTAGTGTAGTATCCAATAAACATATTAACAGGAAATAGCAATAAAAATGTAAAATACTGCAACAGTCAAAAAGATAAATATACATAGATACACATATTCAAAAAAATAAAACAATGAAAAAACTAAGTTCAAAAGTGTTGACAAAACTCCTGCTGAGCAGGATGTGCAAAAGATCACAGTATAGACAATATCTGTTCTGTGCAGGGACAATACTCCAAGGTGTTACTATTATGTGCTTGTTGATGATTGATGAGGCCAGATGCAGAAGAAAAGGCAGGTGCTGGTCCATCACTAGGGAGGACTGGACTGAAATTATGGTCCTGATACAAACATGTGATAGGACAATTAGTTTAAATCATAAGCTCTTTATATTCAAACATGTTGGGTCTGGTGTGTGTGTGTGTGTGTGTTTGTGTGTGTATAATAAATAGGATAGATATGAATATGCTAAAATAAATACAGTATTAGGTGGTGGATCCTGAACCCGCTGGTTCTGGATCAGTCTCTTTGTCTTACTTGTAAAAGAAAAGTTACTGACGAATCTAGTTGGACAACAGCTGCAAGAACAGGCTTAATTCTACTACATGGCTAAAACTTCATCATCAAACATGCATTTATGCCACTTGAAGTGTGTGTCAGTACGGTTTGTAATTTGCACTAATGATACTTTTCGCTACAGACCAACATTAGATGTTAATCACCAGTCTAAAAGAAAAGTCTCATTCCTTTACTCGCCCGGTGCTGTCTACAAACACACCAGCTGTTGAACGTGGTCCATCGGCATGGAGATAAAGATCGCTTTCTTGGCACTTCTATGATTCTCGTCTGCAGTTTTATTTTTTATTTATTTATTTATTTTTAGTCGGGAGCTGTAGCGTAACTTCAAGCTCCGGAGGAAGCTCTTCTTCTCTAAGGGTCTGAGGGCAGACTAGACACTACACTGACTCACACAGCATCTAGTGTGTCTACAACACGGTCCAGGATGCGGCTAGTTGGTTAGCATGCTCAGTTAAGCAGATATCTCTGAAATACACTAGATGGTGCTCTTGGTCATGACATCATCACTGTGGCTCCTTCACATACTATTGATGGTGTAAGTTAATTTTTTGAACGTTTTAAACTAAAATTCTGGCCAGATCTTACACATTGCACCATTAAATCTTTTTAGAGTCCTAGGCTCTAGTATTCCTAGGTGGCGTTGTCGGTTTGGATTTTAAACATACAAAATTTATTTAAAATAAGGCCCTACTTTAGCCATTGGGCCTGGCCACAAATTTTACTTCTATTATTCTATGTTTTGTGGTGATATATTAGTGATGACATTATCCAACCTCAGCAAGCACATGCTGTCTTTGCCAACCTGCATTCACAGGCATTATCTCAAGGCTCATTGGGGTTAGGGATGAGTTTAACCACAACTTTGTGAGACAGTGTTTCAAAACATGACCATAGCCCCTAAACTCTCATCATGCCAGTCTAAGCTGGTCCCTGAATGTCAGCTACCAGCTGGTGCAGAGATCTGACTGTTCACTCTAAGCAAAGTCCTCTCTTGCCCCTTAAGCAAGTCTGAAGCCAGCGTTGGCTGCACACATCCCACTCAGTCCTCTGGAACACAGGGAAACAGGGCCGGGGTATAGTGAAGCCTGTTAGAGGGTTTAGCACATGCAGCATAAAACTATACAGGACAGCACACTGCACTGTGCCACTTTCTCCTCCATAAACTCAGCCTGATACAACAATCTTCTCTTCAAAGCTCCTTATTATGATAACTGTCATGCGAAACTTAACTGAGCTACTTAGTAAAGGATGCTGCCAACAAAATCAATCAAAAAACTGTCTGGGTTGATTTTCATATCAGACTGAAATGAACTAAAACCATTGGATGGACCAATAACAGCACCACTCACATGAATTGGGAAATACAATAATTGTCAACAATCTATCAATCTTGTTGTTACTAGTCTGACCATAAAACATCACTGATGTTGTCCATTATATAGCAGCAGGATGAGCTATAACCACAGCACCTGTTAGCATGACTCAAGCTAACATTAGTTAAGCTGAGGTGGGTGTCAATTTGAAACTTGGGCTGTCAGGGTAGGGGGCAGCATGGCTACAGCAGGCAGAACAGTGCTAATTTTACACCATCTGCATTGCTGACACTGGAATTCCATTGTATTATTAGACTGGTCTTCGTGTAACCCAGTACAGTGGGCCACAGCACAACCTTCATCTCTGTCTCTCCCTCTCTGTACCAGTACCCAACCAGCTGACTGGGTCAAAAGAGCCAGATGTAAAATTCAGGGCAGGTTAGCTACTGGTCCTGGTCCGTCTGCTCCTTACTATAAAAGCAGCCTGCTTACTTAAGCAGGTACACAGAGACAGAATGTAGCAATGAAGTGCTCTGCTGCTACACAATGGTACAACACTTGTGTCATATACATTTGGCCTAGCCATGAAGCAATGGAGAATTACTGTGTAGCGTACATACGTGGCCTGGCATCAGTCACAAGCCATTAAGGAAGTTCATTATAAGGACATGCAGAGTTACGGACCCACAATTGACACTTTGCGACTCTTCCCACCATCAAACTATCACATTGATAGGAAACAGAGACAAAGGACCCCTCTTCCACAAACAGACCATGCTGTTAGCATGTCCGAACGACACAGAACCAGACCAAAGGTCAAAGGGTCAGCTCCAGAGGATTAACCAATGGACACCAGACAACTGGAGAATATAGGCAAAATCTCCAGTTTGTAACAATAAGACTTTGTCTAATGATATTTGATTGTTTCTTGTATAGGACAAGTAACAACAAAAAGGACTGATTAACACTAAGGTGTGAATCCTGGCCTTTCTGTGCCATGCATGAACACACACACCAACCTCCCTTCCTCTGTCCCTCTCTAGATAAGAGTCATAAACTACAACCCACATTCCAATCCTGGGTAGTGACCAGCAGAACTCTCTTCATAGACACAGATCTAAGGAAGAATGTAAAATTAAATATCTAGCTGTTCTGTAACTCATGAGATGTTCCTATGCAATAGTTTAATCCCAAACTTCTATCCCATAGAATGTTTGAAATGTAACATGTAGATTTTAAGACAATGTCCTTCATGTGACCATACTGTCAGCATCCTTCACACAGGTAACACACACTACATGACATCCAGAATGTCCATATTATTATTATTACAGTCAAAGAACTGCTGTGTAATCCACATTTATAGACTATTAGCTTTGGGAAATGTTTATATTGTTGTTTGATCAATTAACCACTTGTATCATGATTAATTCCAGGTTTGAAGGATGTAATATGAAATCAACACTCCTATTACTCCTCTCTGCCATTATTAGTGCAAATAGTTTTCTATGTTATTTCATTTAATGTTTTGTGGTCATGGTGGAAGACGGATGTGCGAATTTATAAGTAAACTCTAGATTTAAATTATTCCAAAATTCAGTGGGAAATTACTCTCTTCTCCAAGTGGAAACACAGGAGATTGGGGACGCCCCTGAAACATGCACCCGCCCCCCAGGGGATAAAACAGTCATGATCAATTCACATAGTTCAGAACAGGTCACAAAGTCGGAGAAGTGCAGAAAAGCCTGAAAGGTGAGAAGAGGTCAGATGTCAGTTCAGAACAAGCCAGAAGAGCTCAGAAGAGAAAGAAAAGTCAGAGAAACCCAGATGACAAGAAGATGCGAGAAGCGAGAAACGATGCAGAAACTAGAAGCTGAGATCTTTGCTCAAAGCTCAGAGTCCCGGCTCAAAGCCCGGCTCTGTAGCCATGTAAACTCTTAGCTCTAAGCTGCTAGCCACAAACTCATGGCTCTTAGTCATTTTTGCACTTTTCGCGTCTTTTATTTTTCTTTGCCACAAGCTCCAAGTAACGTCATTTTTGTCTACATGCGCAATATTCTATTTTTTTTATAAGCCAAGTCAAGACCAACTGAACCAAAACAACAGAAGTGCCTCAGA